GTGTATTTTAATTTCTATCTTAAATAACGAGATTACGATATTTTAATATTTGCCGGTTTCACGGTCGTTTGAGTTGCCCAAAGCATGCGTTTGAACTTCATAACTTCGATATCGACGATTGGTATCTTTTGATTGTGTTTTATCACGGTATCAGAAAGCCTTTAGAAAAATTCTATACAAATAAATTCTCATTTGATTAAATGATAATGTAGTAACGGGTTTTAACGATACATTATTTTATTCAGAAATTCATAAAAGGGTGTCACAAACTATTAATCTTTATTTAAAAACGTTTATAATGTTACAGAGAGGCAAGAATTGTAGGCATAAATGAAGAACATATCAAACACGAAATTAAAATTTTACTTCGAAACTTACCGTTAAGTGGAAATGCGTTTTAATAGAAAAAAGTGTTAATTTAATTGCAATGGATTCAGGGGTAGTATATTATAAAGAAGCGCGTTTCCGTCGGTAGATTTCGGAAGCTCTCGGCTTCGGCCGGATTGAACCATTCGCAATTGGTGGCGGTTCCGGAGTCAGCGAAACGTGAATCAGTCGGCGTTGACGGTGGTTGACGGTAAGAAGTGGGCAGTGAGGTTTTGGTTCGTAGCACTTGTTGAAACGGAAGAGTATTTGTCGTTAGTGCTCGTCGCCGGTGAATGAAGCGGGCTAATTGTTACGTGCGATGGCCGCGTGCTACAGCGAGCAGGCATCATCCAGCTCGGGGAACATAACGAAAAAGTCACCTGCGGTCGCGGCAAAACCGGTCTGTTGGCAACATAGACTATTCGGTAAACAACTGTCGCGGTGCAGTCAGGTTAATCAGCATCAGCAGGACACGAAATCGTACGATGCAAGTGGTACGCTCGTCGACGAAAACAGCAAGCCAACTTGCGAGGTGATCGGTGTATATTTCAGTTTCATTAATCCCGGTGCTACCTGTGATGACTTTACGCGTCAGCTGCTCGACTTGTACAATAATGTCAATTCAACGTTCTCGTCATCGTCGTCATCGCATATGGAGAATAATCTGGACGCGGAAAATTCCGGCGGAAAGTTAGAGAAAAGAAAAAGGTTCGAAGTCGTGCACGTGGTTCTCTGGAGTAACGTAACTGATGTACTCGACTTCGAGGAGAGTTTTCGTGCACATGTTTCCGAATTACCCTGGCTGGCAGTACCGAACTTGGATTATGAAAGGAAGGTAAGATGCAGTTCTTCATCTTCTCAGGTTCTCTACAATACAATTCATTAATTGTGAACGTATATTCACACTCATTGCATTATAATGAAACAATGTGTAAACATATTCTGTATCAGGTATTTATATTTACTCCATTGTTAAGTTCTCGAGAAAATATATTGGGAATTTTGTTGAATGCAAAGAATCAAATTGTTCTTTCATGTTTCATAAGTTAGAACAAAAGAATTTCAGAATTCGTATATACAGTAATTAGAGTTTGGCTTTTGCAGTTGCGTTCAGTGTCTTTTGCAATCATCAACTTTATCGAACAATTTTGCATGCTTATACTGAACCGTGCTGAACCGTTTCACGTCTTTTTTTACGTCAATCCAATATCACCGACTCTTTTTGTTTATCGTTTCAATTGCGTCAGTCATCCACAAGTTTCAATCCAGTTAATTAAAACCAGTTTTTTAAGCTGAATAAGTTTTCAGTAATTAATAAGGGCGTGTAATTTGAAATCATTCATGGTACATTTAATGATTAATGTTTCTCATTGATGTTTCTCCTCACAATTCACGAATGTGAATGAGTGTTTCGCATTTTTTTCACCGGCTGCACGAGTTTTACTGTCGGATGAGCCATGCTCAATTGAGGCGAGTCCGGGCGAGTGTATCATTTGAAATTTTGCATACATATATGTCTATCATAAAGTTACATATGTAAACAGAGAAGTGGGGGGCACACATGCTATTATGCAGAAGGCCCATGCGCGCACAGCATACTTTTTTTGTTTCCAACGGGTGTTTTAACCCCTCGCCAGACGTGCTATTTAGGGTCCGATTTTATTTGCACCAATACACCGAGCAGAGTCGGTTTTCTCTAACTGAAAATCGTTGGTAATATTTTTCGTAAAACATCTGCTCGACTGCAACTCGACACGTTCATGTCTATTTCATAAGTCAAGTACTTGTACAATTTGTTTCCATGTAAATCTATTTTCATATTCTTTCTGTCACGTTATTTTATAAGACTTTTTTTCGTGAGGTGCAATTAAACAGACAAAGATGACTGAAAATGAAAGTATGTTTGCAAAGAATTTAAATAATATGAAATAATTCCGAAGGGTCGTAGCGATCATAAATGAGCGAATAAATAGAATAGAAACCGGAATGCGAATTTATTTCGCGGCGATTGAAAGCAGACAGCAGGACGGCTTCGTACATGGCTTACATTGATCTTTTCATCACCCTCGCACCTCGATGACACACGTATCTCTTGTCTCGAAAGTTTGAGTAACTCTACGTTACATTACAGTACTTCGCACATGCATAGCGAACATTCGGTTTTCCCCCACACGTTTTTTATGCGAGTTAACGAGCTTCTAGTATCGCATCGGAGTAACGAACTGAGTAGAAGAAAGTGCAATCAGGAAAGGAAAATGATAACGCGCGGGCGTACATAATGCGTTACGTTTAATTGTATTACTTATTGCAATTGCAAAAATAATGATAGACAGAAATGTGTACTATATATATGTATTATATTTGTCTTCTTCTTCTTATTCTGTGTTCTCGAGTATTGTTTAACATCTGCATTTTTTGACATATGAAATTCAAGAAAACAGAAGAATTGAGCTCGAGGCAGCGTATGTCACTTCCACTTGCAACTTAAGGATAAGAAAGCTGTAAATTTCAGCGAAAAATAATTAATTTTCGCAACTTATTGAATGTGTACAACAATGCGAACGTACACATTACATATGAATGTGACAGACTATCGGAGATCATTATTCTCAGTCTTTTTTCCACGATCATTAGTCAAGCCACTTGAATCGTTTCGTGTTCGTGACCCATACACATATAGTCTACAGTTTGATTCGGGGGTAAATGTAACGATAAGCGTCCTGCGCAATTAGCGTCAAGTAGCCTCGTGATTCTTCCTTGCTCGTTATTCCACCTATCTACTCAATCCACATTGAGAATCATCCCCTTGAAATGGTAACTTCTTTGTGTGCCGTTCCATTCATTTAACAATGAGAAGAGCAATTTTAGTTTATAGAACGGTCAAATTCTCCTATTATTTCGCTTCTTCATTCAGTATTTCATTATCTCTCTTTTCAAGATAAACAAAGAGTCCTGGAAATTGTATTTGTTTCTCAATGAATATGATGAGCCTCTAAAGAACTAAATACCATAAGAAAAAAGAATCTTTAACTTTTCACTAGACGTTATTGATGTACTGCAAATTTAATTAAATAGTAGGGTCGACGTAATTGGGAGATTGCACTTAATAACACGAGTTATTATACTATTACGTTTTGTGCATCGTCATTGACCTTCGAGTGCAAATAGTATACATTAAATAGAACTTATATTTAAATACAATTATTAAGTACTGTACATACACACGCGATATTTTTGTGCAATGTGTTTGCACGATTCCGTTAGAGAAGGGTATGCTGGCCAGTTTGGCGGACAAAACTGAACGCTTACAATTAGTGGCGTGTATAAAGTAAAAGGCGGGTGTGGGCGCTAGGATGTCCGGCTGCTTGAACGGTCAGGTAATAGAGGCATGCTGCTCATCGTTTGTACGACGTAAACCGTTTCATAAAGGTATACACGCCTCTTTGCCTTCGACGTGGAAGCGGTCAAGAAAAAGAGTCAAGCCGCGCAGTCTTTCCATTCGGGGTGGTCGACCCATATCTTCCGCAAATAGCCTTTCTCATTCGGCCGGCGAGATCAAGAAAACGACGGAAGGTAGCGGGCGAAAAGAGACGGAAAATATATATTTACGTTTGCACGTATGCATCGGACGGGGATGAAACGAGGGAAGGAGAGGGAATCGGTGGCGATGCAGGTCCCTTCCCACGAAAAACGACTGAAACAGGAGGAAGAAAAAAGGAACGAGAGGAACGTTGGAATCTAGATAGACTTTGAGGTAGTCCGTATACAGAGAGAGTGTGGCCCGTACACGCCGCTGTGTAACCCCTCTGCCCTTCCATTTTACCCTCCATCCTTATCTTCCTTCCACCCACTTCCCTTACCTGCTTCTGTCTGCTTTTTAGCTGGCATATTGCATAGATTGCATACGACCTACTCGGCGGCTCGGCAGTGGTCAAAGGAAAAGCGAAATACGTGCGAATCGGTCGAATAAATGTATTCCAGTGCCTATGACTCGCGAAACTCGCACGGAACGCTCCGAATGCTTTGACGCCAGCCATGTAGTCAACAGTATCACGTCGAGGCAAATGGTGAAAAGTTGCGCGAGGAAAAAATTAAATGTTCCACGCCGTTTGCTCCGTACGTTCGGATGCTCTTCCAACGTCTTTTGCCTCGCTAAATTGTACAACTTTAACATCCTATATCTTTTTTATATAATGTATGATACGTACGTGTGTTTTCTTTTCTGTCTATTACATTGTCTTTTTGGGAACATCTTAATGAGTTTGAAACATTTCTTTTGTCATCCGTAACCCTTACGAGATCTATGCTTAGCACTAAGATTGGAGCTGGTCTTCGATGCTTTGTAACGTTTTCAACGAGTAAGCAAATATGTAGTAGTCTTTGTGAGTAATTGAAAGCACGGTTGCTTTAAGATGCTCTCCGGGGGTTGACCAATGGAAATACAGTAGTCGCGTCGGTCGGCCGAGAAACATCAGGAGACCACGATATCTGTATAATATCAGAGGTGCGCAACTCTCAAGTATTAAAAAAATCCGTATCAGTTGTACATAAAAATAGATCAATCACTGAGTATTGCGCTAAGTGCATGTAACATTTGTACAAAAGGAAGATACGGTTTAATATTCAGGGATAAAAATCATCTCAGGATTTTTTATACGATGCTTCTTATGATATGAATGGCGAAGAAGAACGGAATCGATCTATTTAAATTTTATTTGAGTCAATCATCGAGTGAATGTGAAGGGTTGGATTATACGCGTAATGTGTATGGCCATGCCGCAAACCGTTTAACCGTAACGACACTTTTCCGCAAAATTTACTGCGACAAAGCGTGCGTTGTGCACCTCTGTTCGTTCACGAAGGAGGCGATTGAACGCGCGCGAACGAGTCAACAGTGATCTCATCCCTTTCCCCTCCATCGCTCTTCTGCTACCCGATGTCACGGCACAGCAAGAGGGTTCCCTTTTTGTCGGACAGCAAGACAGACTGTCTGTTAAAAAGTGAGTGAATAGTCACTTTTCGAATTATTTTCTGTCTCATGTAATATTCTACCGCGTAATAATCAGTGCAAAATAAATAACTATGAATGACGTCGTTTACCTGATCGTTGCGAGAACAGGATGTTCTATTGGAGTCTCGGGTAATATTATCGATTTCAATAAACTCACTCTTTACGCCTGCTGTGGAAGTAATAAGCCAAACGCTACTCTAGAAATTCTACCAATTGTATGATTTTAATTTACATTATATTATATATACAGACTGAGATATTTTGTTTCACCTTCTAAGAATTGTAATACACATGCTTATATTAAACACATCAATTTTTGTGCAATGCACGTGTTCCGTAGCTTTAAATGACCACTAAATTTCCTTAAACACACAAACATCAGTAAGTTGCAACTAATTATTGTAATCGGACGAATAGTGATGTCACACGGACATTTTTCGTACCTATACAAGCCGCGTTCCCGGTAGAAAGGGAGGAGGAAGAGAATCATCGGCGAGGGTAAGCGGGCGACGGAGCAAGGACGACAGAAGGGAACGAGCAAGCAGGAGCAATGGAAGAGGCGTGGTAGGGGACATACAGACCACCGGGGGAAATAACGATAGCACCGTCGAGCGAGCGGCAGCAACGCCAAGGGAGGACGTGTACGCGTTATCGACCGCTCGAGACGGAGACGGCGAACGAGCGTATATACGCGCGGTACCGTAGGAATGAACGAGAGAAAGTGCCGTAGGAAATACACGGAAGGGACGAGGTAATGCCTCCCTGTGGAGGGTCGCGATAACGTACGGCGTCGCGCGTTCGGCTACCTAGAGGAGACCCTTCTCTGCCTTATTTCGGCATCTCATCCCCTATTTGGAAATCGGCTGGCTACGCATTGCTGCTGATACCGAACTTTTACGTTACTTGGCTCCAGTTCGATCATTTTAGGGATAAGCGCCGTGGAAGTGAACGAATTTTCCTGTGAGAAAAACTCCAAGAGGCAAAAAGAAGATTTCGATTAATGCGAAATTTTTCGGAACTGAAGAACCGACAGGTGTCAGCTACGAAGATCTATTGAACTCGATTCGATGGTTTTCTTTTAGATACCGATGAAGATATCCCAATAGACTTCTTCTGTCCCGGCGGAAGCTCGAACGTCGAAATGCTCGACAGCTATTCGATAATGTTGCTCGCTGCGCTCTTCCTCGCTTCAAACAGGGTTGAATAAATTTTTGTTACTTCGATCGTTGGAATTTACCCACAAGATGTTCTATGAAGAAGCGAAACTTGAATCAAATTTAAATAAAATTTATAGACGAAAAGAAATTTATCCATGCACAATGAATAATTCATTTGTACGTATTCATTGTCGAATGAATCATACTTATTTTTATTTTAAACTATGAACTTTGAGATACCTACAACATTATCGCAATGACTATAAACGTAAAATGAAGATATATTTATATAGTACGGCGCATCATTCAGATGAACTATCGATCGTTAAGGAATGTCAAATAATTGAAAACGCTATTTCATCTTTTACCGTTAGGCTGTTCTTCATTATCTGGAATGAAAGTCTGCTGTAATATGTCCATTGTGCTTCGATCTTCCCTTCCCTTTGTCCTCTTGTAATCAGACAGCTTAACGGAAATCGGTATTCAATGCTAACTAATACTATAGCCCGGTCATCTTTGTTACTTGGTAGCGCTGTCGACGAAAATCAGTAATGCATGTTTAATGATATAAGGGATTGATCTGCTGCTCGGAACAGATTAATCATTTAGTCTGGATGTAATGGATTCGTGATTCGTGAAATTGATGAGAAGAAGGATGAAGAGTGAAATTCACGAGAAAACGATAAAGGAAGGACAGGGAAAGCTTAAAATAATTTAATTGAACTTCTTACTTCAGCTACAACAGCCGTCTCGTTTTATCATACATACTCTGGTTTCTGCGAAACACAGAATAGCAATATTAGGAATGAACAGTAGCTATTGTTTGTTTTACAATTATTTAGGAAGGAATTTCTACAAAGCCTGTAGCTTCCGAGACAGCCATTTTACTTCGCTTATCTCAGCCGGAACAAGGAGCCTCGCTTTCCTATCATCTCCTCACAGCTAATGCTACTGTAATCGCGCTAGACAGACGGCGATATTTATTATCGGCGTACTCTGGCCACTGTTATCCTGGTAAAGTAAAAGTTTGTCTTCTGAAACAGGAAGCACGTAACGATTTTCTTATAAGAAAGAATTTAAAAATGGTTTAAAAAAGAGTAAGAGAACTAATATAAAATTGCTATTTAACATGGATCTCATACTTGCAATAAATTCTCATAATATGCATATAATAAAAAAATAAGTATTCATTGAACGGTGGGTGCACCTGTAATCTTCTTCTGTGGAGGAAAACGAAAGATCAGTCTCGTATTGAAGGTAGATTTCGATTAAACAGAAAACGTAACCGTCGACGTCCGAGTCTCGGCCAGTCTCGACTGACTCTGCCTCGATTCGTCGTCGAGGAACCATACGCCGTTCAAAAGATTCGTGATTTCATGCGAAGTCTACATCCGCTTAGAGCAACATTATTACAATATACTAATATTACAGTTCTTCGAGCAACACTTGTTATAATATACTATTTTTATAGTTCTTCAGGCAAAATTGATGTTATAATATATTACGTTTATACACCCTCGAACTTGAAGAAGTAACACGTAATAAGCATGATTTCAGCATCGCGCTGAGTAGGGGTAGTAAAGTTTGAGCAAACAGGAACTGTAATATTTCCCCGAGATTCAGGCCTGACGTGGAAAGAGTTGAATGCTTATCTAGGAAGAAACGGAAATATAGCCTCGCCCGGGTTATCCGGCTACAAGTATACGCTTCTCGTGCGCGTCCATCCTTCGTTATCTCTTCCGGGTTGGAAAACTTTCAGCCAGTTTCTACTATCATGTCTCGGCTCTATCCCTTTCCCACCGCACCCTTTCCTTTTTCGCCTCTTGTACCACTGTAATCATGCAGCCAAGGGGAAGGGGGCGGATAGCACTCATTGTCAGCAGACATTACTCCCCTGTAGACACTCGTTGCGCCCTTTTTTCGTCGTGCTTGAATTTCGTTGCGTGCTTGTAGGATAACGGAGAAGAAACACAGGCAGGCTATACGTGTTTCGAATTTTCTTGCACCGTGTAGTGGGTAGACCTACACGCGCGTGCACGTACGGTTCTCCGTTCGCTTTAACGCTACGCGTATATTCCTCTCACGCTTTCTGAAATTGATGGGTTTCGATCCTCCTCTCTTTCGTCTTCTTCCTCGATTCCTTTTTATCTTCTTATCCCCCGTGCAGCCAATACACACGCAAACCTGCGGTTTATACGACTAAAGAAGAAATTTTAGTAAAAGAGAAACATTGATAAAAGAGCGAATTACGATTTCTGTGGATACAATTTTTGAATGATTAGATCTCAATACTACTTCCTCTTATCGCATCGTTTTTTTTTTGTCCATTGTGATGTTTGCATCCCATCAAAGTATAACTTTATTATACTCACAATTGGTATTTTACTCTCGATTTCATACTTTGATCAGTGGGCTAGAGACGGGGATTTGTCAGAACGTTGTTCGAATGTAAATTTCTCACAACTTAAATCAAAGAACAGGGCGAAGTTTTGCGAATATTTATGAAAGACACTGCTTTAAGAATTCCACAGATCGACATTGAAATACTCTTGCGAGCGATCAAGTATCCTTTTTGCTTTTTTCAGACCAGACTGACTCGGAGGTATCGGATAAAGGCCGGTGTACCGACTTTGATTTTATTGGATGCTTCTAACGGCTCTGTGGTAACCAGAGGAGGCGTAGAGCGAACCATCGGCGACCCCACTGGAGCTGAATTTCCTTGGAAACCACCTCATCCGAAGGCCGCCCTCGAAGATGGACCTTTATTATCATGTGGGACACGCGATAGCAACGAACCCATGCTGCACGAAGAGTTGCGTCATTGCTTCAAGGGTGTTTACTTCAGTGCACACTGGGTACGTGGGGTTTACTTTATAATAGATTTTTAAAAATGTTAAATGCGTACATCCGTTCCTTGATTGAAATTTACCATCTATTTTTTTTAAATATTAAAAATAAATGTATGATTATACGCGCTTAGGAAAATCTGCATGTGTACGTATGTTTTTTTTTATCGGAGTTATAATTAACACCAAGCGCTTCCTGCATGATAATCGATCGTCAACTCTAGTTTACTCCGTCGTTATTCCGCAGTATATTATAATATAAAATCTGAGGATGAAGAATAATACAAGAATTAATATTCATACAAGCACGTATTGCATGTTATAAGTAAGTAATATATAAATTTTATGTATTTAGTGTCCACCTTGTAAAGCGTTTACCCCACAACTTGTGGATACCTATCAACGAATTCGAGAGAGAGGTCACGACTTCGAGGTGATCTTCGTGAGTTCGGATAGGTAAGTTGTTAATTACCATATATATTAATTATTTCATTGTCCAGAAAATAAGGCGTTAATTGAACCACAACTTTTGCGCTACTAGGAGTGAAGAGTCTTATAACGCTTATATCGAAACGATGCCTTGGTTAAGGATACCTTTCAGTCAAGAGGAGAGACGACGAAAATTAGCAAGTGCTTTCGACGTACAAGCAATACCCACTTTAGTGATACTCGATCCTCGAGATAATATTATAACTTTGGATGGTCGAACGGAATTACTCGAGGATCCGGAAGGACTGGTAAATGAATAACTATGTATTGTTTATATTCATTTTCTATACAATTCGCGATGTATTCCTTACCTACTCGATTGTTCAGAATTTTCCATGGACCAGTCGTTTGGTGAACATTTTAACAGAAAAATATGCTACATCGTTGCACGATGCTCCAGCAATTATTCTTTTCGTCGGTAAGCATTCTAAAAAACTTGTCTGAACGGGGTTCGTAGACAAATTTTTGAACATTTTACTTTTATATACTAACAGAAGGGGATGACTGTGAGATTCAATTCGCGGAAAGCGTATTAATGCCAGCTGCACAAGCGTACACAAAAGATAGACCTGATTACGATCCAACTTACGATGACCCAGATGATATTTTACAATTTTATATAGCATTAGATGTAAGTACTTAATAAATCTCGTTGAATGATAGACAAGTATTTGGTGATTAATCTGTATTTATTTGTTTATGCCGCAGTGTGAAACGTCTGAGATTCTTCGCGAATTCGTCGGTTTGGACGATGCTGTGCCCCTTTTAACAGCGATTGATATACCTCGAGGAGTCTATGTGGTGATGGAGGACGGTGCCGAAATAACTGTAGATTCTGTACAACAATTTATCGACGGATTTCTTAACGATAAATTGCCTATAAACAAAATAGCAGCAGTGCACAAAACTGCTAAAAACGATCATGTTTCTACTTGAACTTTTAACGGCTCGATCAATTTTATAGGAAATCATTGGGAAACCATTCAAAGGAAGGAGCAGTTAGGTTTTGTACGTGGTCATTATACAACCACAAAAATAAAGAAACCCCATCCTCTCATCAGTCCTGTCTCTGTGATACCATTGCTCCTTTCGTAGAAAGGATCTCGCGCGAACGGGCGTTTGTATTCGCACACCCCTTTGTGGAAATAACCAAAAGACATGTATTATGTATCATAGTCAATAAAAACTGAGGCGAATTGTATTTTTAAGTGTACACATGCACATGTTAATATATAATATAATTATGTACTACTTAATAAATGCTAAATGAACACGTCGAACGTATATTGAGTAATAGATTGCTTATTCTTCGTAGTAGAGTTGTACGTGATAATTGATTTAATACAAGATTGAGTCTTAAATTACAATTAAGACAAACGTAAATGATATGAAATAAATTTGGTAATATCGATCTTTAAAGTGATTAATCTTGTTCCCATGTAAAAATTCTTTCTATTATCACTTACATTACAATTGATTTATTACATAACAATTGATCTTTTTCATTAAGTTGAAATCAGTTGATTCGTTGTATTCTCGAGAAGTAGTTTTAGCCAATCATCTCTTAGAAAATTTCAAAAATCAACAGTTCTTTGTACAGATGAATGAAGTTACATATATCTGTCGTTAATTATATATAAAACACATTACTAATTTGCACTAGTCAGTTATAGCATGTTGAGAGAAATAAAGAATACTTAATAACCGGTCTCTGTCGGATTTTTAAAAAAATATTGTTATCGTAATTTTGTACTACTATTTTAGAAAAATAAATATAAGGAAGATTACGTCAATTAAATTACTAAAATAATTTCACGCTAGTAGAGCTGCTAAGGCATCCAGAAATTTCGATCTCTCGTCAATTTTCAGTCTTATTACTGAAACAAATACATGATGTTTAATAATTAGGCATTATAAAGATAAAAACGTTTAGAAAATTTTAAGTGTCTCTTACTTGTAGTGTCAAAGTAATCTGCGTCTATGTAACAATTTGTATTTCGAGCTGCTTGTTCAAATGCTCTTCCAAATAAACTAAAATAATTAACACAAGATGACGATCAGTCGACTTGAAATATTTTTAAAATCAATTTCAATCGATCATTTAATTAAGTAATCACCTTCTTGGTTGATCTTCGCACACTGGTGGTATACCAACCATGAGGCATGTACCTTTCTCTGCATTACATGTAGAAGACGCTACGAGTGGCCATTCCAATGCTCGTCTATTCTTTGAAGAGTCTACGTATGCTTTTAAAATAAACTGCGCTAACATTACTAACGGATATGGATGCGCGAATACATAATTGTCGGCCGCTCCCTCCGAGATAATTACGTACAGAAACGAACCGGCGCTTCTAATTTGTTTCATTTGTAAAATATTCTGTGCAGTCTTAAAAATACTATTAAGCATGAATTTTGCTTTTTCTATGCCACTCTCTAAAATGTCTTTTTTTGTCCGCGATAAACAGTCCAGTGCATCTAAAAAACAGCGTTGCGGTAACTTTTCCTTTGACTGAAACGTTGAATAGATGAATAAGATTATTAATTAAAATACAACATAAAATGTATAGAAATATGTGGATAGTAATGACTTACAGAGGATTCCATTAAAGCAAGCATAGCGTAAACTATGTCTGAGGCACAGTATTTAAATTTATAACCATATTGAAGAATGAAACTGGTTCCAATTACAGTGTTGACCTTGTACTTTCCTGCTAACTTTTCAATCATTTGCTTAAATTCCTGTCTAAGTGCTAGATCCATGGCAGAAAATCGTTGTTTCGATTGCGCCAAAGGTAAACCCATTTCTGCTAATAATTCCTTTAACCGTTGTTCTCCTCTGATCGACCAAAGTCGTAACGATACAGCAGTTGGTATCGAATGCCTAAGGCTAGCTTCTACGGTCCAATGTCGGTACAACACGAGTAAAAGGCTATATGGCTAATGTAAGGAAAAATATTTTATATTTTCGATACAAACAAAAAGTTAGCTTCGACTTCAAAGGATACTCTTTATCATAGGTAATCCTGACTGTACTATGTTGCTGTTGCTTATCAACTTCACCTCCTTGTTTATGTGTCAATCTAGATACATGGCCCTGAAGGGAACCTTCGTCGAGGACACTTAATCTCGACTCCACTTTACCAAGAATTGCTTGTTCTGTGGTACCTACTATGGCCCACCATACTATGTCCAAATTATCTTTCGACATATGCCATGCCATTTCAAAAACCAACATTGAACTCTGCAAACGAAATTAAATATAAATTCTGAGTTTTCATTCAACACTATTGTTCACATATTTTGATCATTCCTACTGATTTGCCATAATAACTGTACTGTGTATAATTGAATAATATAGTTGCTCTATTCTCAGACCACTGTCTCCTTTCAGCTCTTTTAATAATATCCTCTTCATTCAACCTCCTCCTTTTTCTCCCAGATTCGCCACTTTCTGATTCTTCGTCTGCTTCATCTTCATCAGACTGAAAATTGGTAAAACCTCCATTTGTGTGTTCATTATGTAAAGCAGTTATAACAATTGAATGATAATATAATTTACCGAATCATCCCTGAAGACATCATTATACTGTGGGATTTCGTCATCCTCATCAAGTTTACCAAGTATACGTACTTGATCTTCTGAGTATACATTGCATAAGTCATAAGGTCTGTGGCTATCAAGAATATAAAATATCACAGATTCTGCAGGTTGTAGCAATTCCACTAGGTCTAATGTACCTCCACAATTTATAAGAATAACATTCTTTATCTAAATGGACAATAAATATTAATAACAATGTTTATCGCGAGGGCACTTATATTCTTTTAATTCAAAGTTTTGATTACCTCCTCACAATTTTCTTCAAAAGCATGGACCATATCTTGGATGCCTTGCACAGGCACAAGTGTATATATTATGTTATCATTTTTAAAAAGTTGCTGCAGGATTCTACAGGCACAAATGGCATCGACATCGAAATTAACTAACAGCAAACATCTCTAAAATAGAAAGAATTACATTGCTGATTCTGGTTAAACAATTTTTAATTAAATGATGTTAATTTAAAAACACATTCGTAAAAATGATTTAACCTAGACAAACACAATTGGTTTAAGGATTTTCACTTTGAAAATTAAAAATTAAACTCACGTCATTTTTTATTGAACGGTAAAATTCTCTTTCTAAGTTTTCCACAAACATGATGCCGTAATTCTCGGCATGGGAGTAGTTTTTATGTTCACTGTTCTTCTTTACTCTCCTTATATTCTTCACTAGTTTACCGCGAAAACTAAACACCACGACAGTGGCTTTCCTCGATATTAAATATAATGTGTATACAATAATAGAGCATCGTAATAGTATCAGATAGTATTTATCACAATAAAAAAACATGCAATGAATTTCATGGGAATCTTGTGGTTGACATATTAAATAGCAAAGTACAGTTTAAACTTTAAGAACTGGTCCATAAAAAACGTTGAACGCTTAACAGATTTAAATGTATCGTTGGTTAGCAACCAAAAAGTATAACAATTCATAAGTATCGTGGATTAATCAAACATTTTTATGTTTAATACGACATGTTATTTTGTAAAACACTTTATTGTTTAATGTAGCATTATTTACATATTCTACACATTACCTGTGAGATTAGACGCTGAACTGATGCTGCTAGTTGCCAGCAATTTACTCCCGCGTGTTTGGTCAGTTTGGTGTCGCCTTCAGTTCAGTAGATTCAGTAGTTCTTCCTTCGAAATACACGTGCTGTTCCTACACGCTTAAAAATGGCAGAAAGCGGTAATTGTTTTTAATTTTCTTCAAGTAGTACATTATTTAATGTAGCATTTACTATATCGCATCCTATTTAAATTGACGTTCATATTCTGTACATGCAATTATGTAAAGATATTCATCCTCTGTGATGAAGTATCCTTCAGAGGTTTAGCGGCAAACACGTGTTTTTGTATTTAATGCAAATAGCACTGAAGATATTGTTTTAATCGTCATGAGTTGTATTCTCTTCAGATATTTATTTTACACCGATCCTTACTTGCGTTTATTTATACGCTTTGTTATTATGCCTAAACATCATGCCTACGTGTGTAATCTAACATGAATTCATAGGTTATAATTTTTCTTTCTGTAATTTAGATAAAAGTAAGAAAAAAGGCAAGAAGAAGTCTCTTGGAGAGATTCAGGCAACTATGAAATGTCAATTAGAACCTTCAGATGAACTTGTAAAACTTGAATACAAGGACTGGCCCCTTTTATTTAAGGTAGACAATATAAGAATTAGACTATGTATTGTCTAAATTATAATTTTCCAAGGTGCTTACAATTAAATAAATAATGTTTCAGAATTTTGATAAAATGCTGACCCGTACAAAGCATTTTACTCCTTTAACTAGTGGTTCTACACCACTGCATCGTAGCTTATCTGAATACATCAAATCTGGCTGTATTAATCTCGATAAACCGTGTAATCCATCATCACATGAAGTTGTAGCATGGATAAAAAGAATTTTGAAAGTAGAGAAGACTGGTCACTCTGGTACTTTGGATCCTAAAGTATCTGGATGTTTGATAGTATGTATTGATAGGGCAACTAGATTAGCTAAATCTCAACAGTCTGCGGGAAAAGAGTACATTGCGGTTTTCAAATTACATTCAGCTCCAGAAAGTATTCAAAAGGTAAACATTTTTTTAAAATTCATTTATTTCCGTTTTCATATATCACAAAATTTGTTAATTCAAATCATATCAATAAAAAAAATTGTAGGTAGGTCAAGCACTGGAAAAATTGCGCGGTGCGCTTTTCCAAAGACCTCCACTGATATCCGCAGTAAAGCGTCAACTTCGTGTCAGAACTGTTTACGATAGTTGGTTCCTTGATTACGATGAAGAACGCAACATGGGAGTGTTCAAAGTTAGTTGTGAGGCGGGCTCATACATTAGAACTCTCTGTGTTCATCTTGGCCTCTTCTTAGGCACTGGTTGTCAAATGCAAGAATTGCGTAGAAATCGGTCAGGTATACAGTCCGAGAAAGACGGAATGGTGACTATGCATGATATACTTGATGCTCAATGGTTGTATGAAAATCATGGAGATGATTCTTACTTAAGAAGAGTAATAAAACCACTGGAAGCTCTTCTTGTAAATCATAAAAGAATTATCGTCAAGGATAGCGCTGTATGTATCGATTACTTACACACAGATAGTTTTTTCTTGTAGACAGAACATATTTATAACATTGTTCATTTACATTAACAGGTGAATGCTATTTGCTATGGAGCTAAAATTATGTTACCAGGTATTTTAATGTATGATGAAGGTATAGAGTTAAATCAAGAAATAGTAATAGCCACTACTAAAGGCGAAGCTGTAGCCCTCGGTAAGTAAAATATTGTAGGTATAATATGAAATTGATTATTGATGTATTAAAGAATTGTTTAAACGTTGTTACAGCTATAGCCCTAATGACATCTCCCACAATGACTGTTTGTGATCATGGTGTAGCTGCTAAAATTAAAAGAGTAATTATGGAAAGAGATGCTTATCCACGGAAGTGGGGTCTTGGACCAAAGGCTTCTGTAAAAAAGCGTATGATAGTTGAAGGAAAATTAGATAAATACGGAAAACCAAATGAAAATACACCTGCTGATTGGTTAACGAATTATGCAGATTATTCTACGCCTGCGATTAAGGTAATTATTATGTTCTTCATTGCACTGTATGCCAATGTAGATAATACAAAGTTCATTAACGAATTAGACTGAAAATAATGGAATTGAGGAAGCAGCAACTGCAGCTGCTAAGAAACGTAAATGGGAGGAGACAGTACCACAGCCTGCAGGAGACGTTACGATAAAACAAGAGGTTGAAGATCCAGAAACAGAGTCTCCAAAAGAGAAAAAGAAAGAAAAGAAGGACAAGAAGAAGAAAAAGAAGAAGGAAAAGGGTGAAGTTGATGAATCGATAAAATCCGAAGCGGATGAATCAATGATAACTGAAAGTGTAACAGAGGTAAAGTTATTCTTGGTTAATTGTAATGCAGAATGTGTATAAGAATTTTTACTAATGCAACTTGAATATCTGTAGGACACATCAGTAAAAGAGGAAAAGAAGAAAAAGAAGAAGAAGAAGGATAAAGATCAGGAGCAGCAAGAGACACCAATTTCAAGTTGAAATAATTATTAAATACACTAGTATTTTTTAAAGTATAACTATCGCACTTTTTTTTTATAAATGGAAGAGGAATTCTGCTTTATAAGATGAAACAAACAGAATTGAAAGTGGATTTTCCATAAATGTCATCTAAATTTTTAAATGTTCAAACTATAAATCAATACGTATCTACATTGTTTACTGTATTGTTTAATTCAAGAGAAAATTTCGTTTAGTATATACTTGAAAAAATTATAATTCGATTCATTTAGCACTCATTTAAATTCTGTTGAAAAAGATCTATTATTGCTACGTATTTTAATTCTTAAATAAGAATGAAACAAATGATACGAATAAATTTTATAAATCGTGCAAATGAAAATGTATATTGACACAGGTTTACTATATCGACAATTGTACATAGTAAAAGTTCCATTTGCAAATTACTAAAGTATTTTGCAAATATAAGTGATTCCATAATGGTTTACTTATTGCAATGATACCTTTTCGTATTGTGCATTTAATAATAGTACTAATTATTTTGTAGTATTTACATCTGTTGTTTTAGGAGAAAACAATTTCACTTATCATTTCGCTTTCTGATCCAGGCATTCACATTCACATATCTTTCATCTCGTAAGATAATAAATTACATGTAATGTCTGAACGGCTATCGTAAATTTATACAAAACTGTATGTTTTACATATGTCTTCTAGGTTCAAATTATAAACACATGCATTTTAAAAAGGTGTATATTTTTTTAAGTAATATATTGCAAATGGTATTTTAAGAAATAGTTATTTGAATACAACTGTATCGAGCATTGCTCCCAAACACTGAACGATGTTCGTAGACATAAGTGTATCCACTTTCTCCTCTAAATGTCGTTTTGGATCTTGCTTACCCACATTCTTTATAGCCAGCTGTTCAGGTGTCATCTTTTCTTCGTCTTCCAATGCCTATAGAAATTAATCTTCAATTAATACAATTTAAGTCTCTACTTTTAAGATATGTTTAACGTTACATCAAGATATTGTACCTTATTATAATTCTTAGCAAGTTCGAGCATTTCGGATACAATGCTTTCGTTTAGTTTGCTATGCTCCGAATATTCAGCAAGTGTAAGACCATCCATCCATGTCTTTTTATGTAGATTCAATAGCATTTTCTGTTCCAGTTCGTTCTTACGATAGTTGATGCTAATACTATAGTAATGACGATTCAAACCGTGAATCAATGCTTGAACTGATGGCTTTTGTAAATGACCTAAGTTAGATGTTGTTTGACGGGGTTCCTGACCCAAAACCTGAAGTTTTATAATGAATGTTGATGAATATTAAAATTCTCCATCTAACAAGTAAACACTTATACTTTATCACTTACCATAGTGTTAGGTGTGATTAATCTAAATGCATCAATGACAACTTTTCCTTTTACCGACTGTATGGGATCAATAACAACAGCCACTGCTCTCTCACTAAGAGCTTCAAACGATTGTTGGGTATTTATGTCTACACCTGACAGCCAACATCCAAATCCTGGATGAGAATGGTACCAGCCAACTACCATCTCCGGCCGACCAGTTTGTTTAAGCATGTCCAACATTTTTGCTTGAAATACTGGATCAACTGCCTCAACGCTAACTCCCTGATAAAGAAAAATGAGAAAGACTTAAGAGATAAAGGAATAACTTGAATATTTAAATTCTAATGTACTGGACCATGAAACTGATCTTAATGAGAAAAATAGCTAATAAAATAAGAAAGAAATCTTTGATTCTTACCGTTCCTGTTTGGGGCATAGCAAATACATCGATAACACGGACAGTGTAATCATCAACAAATTCTCCAAGCATTAAACCCATCACTTCCATGGGAACACCGGCACGTCCATGTTTAAGCATTTTCAGAAGAGCTAAAGATGATATGTACACCTAAAAATATTGATACAATAAAAGAAGAATATTTATTTATGAAACTAAGTTTGGAAATAAAATTTTGATGAAACAAATCATACTTGTTCTGCAGTATCAACAACTGGAGCATCTGAAGGAGGGGGTCCTTGGCTAAGACCTGGCATAGCTCCACCTAATCTCAATAATCGATCCATCTCTTTATTTTATTTCTTGGGAAAGTTCTGAAACATGATATAAATACTTGATCCATTTTGTGGAATATGTAAAGTATTGTGTCCATTTATGTTCAGTATGAATCAGACATTAGCAAGGTTAATTTCGTCGACGAAGTACCAAAGAAAACTGATATTATTGTAAAATGTATAAAGTAATATGTTCATTCGCTTACCTATTAAATTATACTGCTGATAAAAAATACCACAATTTATTTGTCATTCATAGAATTAAATGAGCATTCCCTTTGTAAGCAACTCGCTGACAACTCACTCAAATCCACTCAAATCTGCACACTCACGAGCGCAGCCTGTTGGAATCGTGAGCATTCATAGAACGTTCAATTTCCAATGTCGGCATTGTTTGATGCATGAGAATAATGACGAAAACTGAAATGACTGTCCCTTGGAAAGGAGGACCACATGATTTAGGTAAATTTTTAATTTCCACATGAATCATTTAATGGAATAATAAAGGTATATAACGTTTGTATTTACTTTCCACTGAGGTTATCCATGTTTTCTATTTTTAACGGAATGCGAATTCTGTAAAAGTGCATTAATTTGTTTGTTCTAGATTAATTTAAATTAAACGAAACAGTTCTGTAAATTATGTATGTTCTCATTAACCCGGAAAGTCTGAGCACTGAGAATGAGAACTCAAAGATTAAATAAGAAACAAATTTATATAAATAACTATATTTTACAGGCGATCCCGATGATAAAAGCTTAAGGAAAGTAGAGAAAGATGTACTCATACCACAAATAATGAGAGACAGAGCAAAAACTGAAAAATGTGTTCAAGAAGTAGAAGGTAATGTCTGCTCTTGAAGTTATTACTATTTATAAACTACATTTTGATTATTTATCATTTATTCGTTTTACAGAATTTACAGAATGTTGTAAGAAGACCTACATCTTGATGCCATTTCAGTGTAAAGCACAAAATACTGCTTTAGTAGACTGCTTAACAAAATGGTACAATGATTCTACTTTCCAAGAAGAATGTAAAGAGCAATACTTAAATGAGAGATCTCAATATCGAAGAACGGGTATACCTCAAAGGTCAAAATTCAGTAGGATGCAATCAAATACTTAAAAATAATTTATTACAAATTATTAACAATGTACATAAGTTACAGTAGCGTTATATTGAGTTTAATGAAGTAATGGATTGTTCTATCTAAATATATATGATAAAAGGAATGCAGCAATAAAAGCTTAAGAAGAATCATCGTCATCTTCCTCTATATCTTTATTATGTTTTGGATTTACCCTTCTCCATAACAATTCTTTTACAGAAAACTCAAATATTACATCCACAGGCATGAGATCAAATGATTGCGATGCTGAGGATGGCCACAGAACTTGTGCAAATAATATTTCCTATATTGAAAATACAATTAAGATACAAAATATCTTTAAACGTAAACTAACACACAAATAAATTATTTATATGAATCACCTTGGCTGCAGTTTCTGATAATCTTTCTAATCCTAATAAATCGTTCCATGTTCTGGGTGTGCATTTAGTTTCATCTCTAATTAACGTATCAGCATCTAGCACGTCTATCAGTACAATATAGGATGCATGATAAAACGATGGTCCTTGTTTATACAGTACTGAAATACAAGAAATTACGTACGTTAATGTTAATTTAGAACTTTAAACTGATAATAAAATAGATAGGAACAGTACTAACAGAAATCGCCACCGTACTTAAGTCCAGGCTTTACTACCCATCCTTTGCTTCGAAAATAGTGGTACACGACATACTTTTGTACAAAATTTTGGTCCATCTTACGAAAATGGTACCAAGCAGCATCAATGCTTAGTGTTTCACCGCTGTAGTCATATAAATTTAAACATCCCAAACCAAAGAGAAGAAAAAATGTCTCTTCAAATGTAAGATTAAGAGCTTCCAAGACTGGACAAGTTTCATATTCAATCTTTGGTTTTATTTCTTTGAAGTAATTTTCAGTTTCCGAATCACTATCTGGTAAGACAAGCAATTTATTTTCAATACTTGTATTACTATTTCCAAAACATATATCATCTTCCGTGAAAGTAAAATCTTGATTTTCAACAGGTTTCTCCTCACTCTCATCAGTCTTGCACTCATCAACTTCTATGATCTCTATATTATTCTCTTTAGTGGAATTAACATTTGCCGTCACTATTTCTATTTCTTTGTCAATTTCTACCTCTTTATTAATTTCTTTCTGCTTGTCACACTTCTTTAATGTAGCAGAATTTGTTTCTACTTCAATTATGTTCGGTGGTGATGCACTTTCTTTTGTAGGATCATCTAGACAATTGATATCTTTATCAATTTCAGATTGGGATAATTCACAGATACCCTCTTCTGAATCTACTGATTTCATGCTAAGTTCATTAAACTGTCTTAGCCATTCTTGTCTGCAGATCCATTGCCTGTTTCTTATAATGGGAGGTGCACCATAACGTGCTTTGCCAAATGATGGAAAACCACGTGATAGGGATCCTTTCCCAAAACAGCCCTTAATAAATAGGAAGATGATTAAATTAGATAATTATTCTAATCATTTGTATCTCTTTGTAAATCACACTTACCATAGAATTCAATTCAATCATATCCTGTTGCTGTAATACAGAACATCCCATGGGCGTAAGATAAGCCTCATAAACAGGCCATTCCTTCTTACCCAATCCAATTGGTAATGGCATTTGGTTTCCTAATCTTACATGTCGTTTCTTCTTTGGTTCACGTAATTCCATTTTGTAATTATATTTGTTATATTTGCAATTCCTCCAAGTTTCAAATAACCTAAACACGTAAAATTTCACTTTTAAATGAAATGCATTTTATAATTCGTTTCTTAACTTAAAAAGAGAGAAGATAAATTAACTGCCATGGAGTACAAAGGTGAAAAGCATAAAGATCACTTACGAATCGTGCAGAATTATTGGGTGTTATTCAATTAACGCGGAAGTGCGGAACTCCTTACGCGGTACGGCAGCATAACTAAGTAATAACCGCCTATGATATTTGAAATTGTCTGAATTGTTATACAATAATACATAATTAGTAAAACGATATAGTACTACGTCCATAACTTTTAAAGTTGCAGTTAAAATTAAAGCTTTGCAAGATTATTTATATATCGAGAAATAACGTACCGAAAACAAATTTGTACTTTCAATCTACTTACATGTTTTCAATTAACACAATTCTATCTTATAATGTAATATACGTTTAGATTATTTGCTATTTACTTATACCTTGAACTATCGTAACAAAAGTTCGGACGAGATTGATTTCAAATGTGATTGGTCTATTTTTCTTGCCAGTCCTTGCATGTTACCTTGTAGATCCCGTGGCATCTATTTCAAATGTCCAGTTTCAAATTATTTGTATAAAAATAATAACTAATTACATTAGGAAGAAAGATATAAAACACTAAAAATCATGAAAGAATATAATAATAATTAAACTAACGGATGCGCACGGGAACGATTAATATAACAGAACATTTATTACCATTTTCATATAGTTTATTTCCCAAATATTTAAAGATTTAATAAATTTATAGATTGATCACGAGTAGTTATGATAAAATTAAAATGATTCTGCCTCCTTTGCTTTGATACTGTCTTTGTAGAAAATTAATTAAATGTTTAATTAATTAGATATTGGCCTGTTACATTATCTACTTTCATACTTTCACCGCGTACATTGTTACCTATTTACTGGTTAAATGAGATGTACATAAGAAAAAGTGAGAAAAATAAAACATTAAATGCCTTGAAAAGTCAAGTTCATTATACTCGTTTTTACTGCTCAACAAGAAGCTGTATACATCTCGGAACCTGAAGATCGAGCGATAAGTTGAGAGTACGAGTAAATCGACGAAATGTACTTTTAATCCAAAGAGAGAAAACGGTTGGGAAAGGGAAGAAAGAAAGGAGAAGGGGGCTACGAGAAGAGGAACTTCTCGCAGAAGAGAGAGTAGTCTTCGGATGCTGTATTTCCGTTCCTCATCAGTAGTCAACTTTGCGACCGGAATCTTCTCCTCTCGTTGCAGTGTCATGCGGTGACTGGCGAAGGAAAGACGTCACCCAGTGATTTTGATCGCGATCGAAATGTAATTCAAATTACACACTCGCCTCTCTAATCACTCTTTCGATCGCCGTTTATTTAATTCGGTACTAATCGCGGATTCGTATTAAAATTCAATTAAACCGGTGCACTCATCACAATATAAGTTTGTGTATAACTACGTGAGTTTGCAATCGTTAGACACGGTAACCACAGTTGGAGAATACGGTTGAAAGTAAATCAAGAATACTAACTAAACGGAAAACTCAGCATGCTCTGAAATGTGAAAAACAGAGAATCGATTCATTTTCGATACACATTTACAATTATAATCAACGAGCCTTTTGTAACATTTACGGTGCAAAGAAAGCGAATGGCTACGGAACGCGAAGAATGATTTTGTTCGCAAGCATGTTTGGACAAGCCGATTCATTTGGGAAGCAAATCGTCATTGTCAAAGTCGAAAGTTACTGGCTCTAACTTTCACTAATAACCGAAGGTGTGATGCCTATGGTTTCGCCTGTATGCCGGCTGTTCATGGGACGTCGCACGGAACTGAGACGGTGTTATACCTATACGAAGCAACCACACGAAGAGGCGACGTGCCACTTGTTTCGGTGACCTGGTTTCACGGCCCACTTTTCTACCACACTGTATATATACATATACATATACATATACATATACATATACATATACATATACATATACATATACATATACATATACATATACATATACATATACATACGTGTGAATGCCTTCGCCACGCTTCACGTGTTCTTACGGTACATGAAACCACAGAAAAGAATAAAGTGCAGAAACGAAATTCGATAAAAACTGTCTAATTAGACTGTACTTTATGGTACCAAGGTCCTGTTTTTTCTGCAGCTTGTCGTAAGGTTCTTCTTCGCAACTATACGATTACAGGGTGCTGCATGATCTCATAAGACGTTGCATTATCTTAAATACTTAATAACAAAAACAGAAATGCAATCGACCGATTGCCTACCTCAGAGTTCCGTCTACGTTTGGCCTTGATTCGAAACGAAAAACGGAAAACAGAGAACAATTTGGCAAGGATGTCAGTTTATCGATTGAATTTTCTGTTGCGATTCTGTTCGAATAAATCACAAGAGCTATGCGAGTGTCGATCGACGTTGTCGAGCTAATGTTCCAAAGGGGAACGATATTGCGGGATAGCTGCGAGACCGATATTCTCCAAATTTTAACGTGTTCTTCTGCATTGGTGAACGGCTGGACAAGCTATTAACATCGCCAGGCAGTCGTATTATTCGTTGTCGAATAACACAGAAAGAAATGAATTCGTTCGTACATTTGCTTCTCATTCTACTTCTTGTCGAACTGTATTGTCGCGCAGATGACAGAAAAAATGACCGTTATTTAAAAAACCTAGGTGAGTCTATCGATAGGAAGAAGCGGTAGAAAAAATAACATTTATCTTGCTTAATATCTTCTTTCTTATTTCTTCCTGTAAAATATTCCTATTAAAAAACTATTGAGGGTAAATCAAGCATTACACTTTTGCATCACATCTGTGCTAACGCAGTGCTACATCTCGGTTCTAGATTTTATTGAGGAGGGGAAGGACAATATGGAAAATGCAATCAATTCCGACAGGCAAACACGATTTTTCGACGAACTCGGATGTAAGTTTTATGTGAAATAACAAGGGCGATGAAAATACCTGATTGACATTCTGTCAAATTGTAATTTCTACGTTATCATAATCGGTCGAGGTGTAATGATTTTCATACACTTTTAATTCGTAATGCTCATTCTTTTGCTTACCTCATGATGATACGCGCGAGTATTATTGGGCGATCAGCAAAAATATAAGTGAGTTAAGAATAATTAGACATATTTGTATGCAAGGTGTAAAAAGAAAGAGAATTTTGTACATAGCGTTTAATCTATTCGAGGAGAAAGGAACGCGAGGAATACAGAAAAGAAAGAACGGAAGAGCGGGGCGAGAGGAAGAAAGCAAAAGAGAGTGAAGAAGAGAATCAGGTGGGGAGAAGACCCAGTGCAGGGGAAGACACGCTATCATAGCAATGAGAAAGCTGATGTTGGTGAAAGCCGCGGACGCTTCTTTAGATGCCGGCAAACTCCTCGTCAGTCGGTGGAATACATCGATTCGTGATAGTCCATGCGAAAATCAATTTTGGAGACCATCGGGCGGCGTTTAAAAGAAAGTGAGATTGAAAAACGTAATACACAGATTTTAACTCTTTAATTAACACGTGGACCGAAGAATTATTCCTGAAGAGAATAGATTTCCAAGCATCCGGTGCGCTTTGGATTCCTTAATTTCAATAGATATTGGAATCTTGTTGGAACCTTTTGATCGATGGAATGAAGATAAAATGTCGAAGGCGTATCTCATCCATTTTCCTTGGATTACCACGAATAGCTGCGCTTTTACACGATAACAAAGGAAGCTTTCAAACGGAAAGAAGTGATTTATATCCACAGTTATGATAAACAAATTGTGACCATTTGTTAATTTAAGTCTAATTTATTTAAACAATAAATTAGAAAGAGATTCCAAGATCATGAATGTCGTCGCAGCTATACACGTGCTTCTAATAGTAACCATTAACGCGTACGATTACGATGAGTACGACACAGTGACTTACGATCGTCCGTTGGTCTCCTCCGCTTTACAAGTTCCTGTGAGCTTGCAAATTCAAAGACAGTTATCGGATAAGCGAAGATCCAGGGAAACGAGCAAATTGGACAATAGCTTGATAATTAATAAACCATTTGAACGGAAGGTTCACATCGACACCGCTGTGATAAGAAAATGTTACGACTCGACGGGGGAGAATTCATGCAATGGGGATTATGAAAAACCGCGGAACAGTGTCCTTCGTAGAACGTTCGTTAGATTCGATGGGCAAACGCGGGATCGGTTGGATCATTTGAATAGAAAAGAACTGTCGGAGAGTAACGCCATTGAAAATCGGAGAAAGCAAGTTGGAGGGAGAGTCGTCGTCGATGATACCGGCGATGATAGCGAAAGTGCGGAAAGATCGATGTCGGATAACGGGGACGTTCAACAAAGACAGACAGCGAATAGGTGGAACCAGGAACACGAGGAGGAAAATCTTTCGAATTTTCTTGATCAGTTAAAGAACAAAGTAAACAGGGACGAATTGGAACAGTTGATAACGAGTCATAGGCAGGGGAGAAAACGAAAATTGACCAGTCATCAGCAGGGCACCCTCCTCGTTGAAGCTCTCAGAAGAAAGAAGAATAATACTGAAGATCATCGGGGTTATAATAACAATCTACAGAATGGAATAATGGACATGTTGGGTAGAAGTACGTTTCGAGTTCGAAGGGTGACAGTCTCGTCGAAAAAATAGTTCCAACTACCAGAAATCGCAAGACTTTCCTGCTCGATCTTGTCGTTATAATATGTGTACACATGTTCGGTTCACGAGTTTCACTTATGAAACCGTGATACGAAACGAAAGCAGCCATGTATTTATCTCGATAAACAGACCGAAAGAGAGCGATGCCGTGCTGCATGACGACGTATCGCGACATTCGACCGACAATACTCGACACAAGACACGACAACCCATGAAATTGTTACAAGAAAAATTTTGTTCATCGTGTGACCCATAGAAAATAGTTAGGCACCTCGCGTTCCTTTTCATTCCATGTTGCTATAACAAAACACCGAAGACGTAATGAATTACGACAACGTCCAGTAGATTACACGAATTACTGATCGCGCAGGTGTTTTTCTTTCGTGACCAGATCGTGATTTGAAATTGATAATCGATTTCTTTTAGTGATACCACAATCGTGTACTTACAAAGGTGCGACGTTCGATTGTGGCCTCAGCATCAGTTGCGTTCTCGGAGGCGGTCGTCCAGTCGATCTCTGCTCCGGAGGACTGATATGGAGCTGCTGCGTAGACGACGACGATATACCAGAAAAGATACCAAGACCAACGACTGGATTGCTGCAAAACGCAAGTGAGTATTTATTTGGTGTTTATTAATTCTTTCCTGTCTGGCATTAATAGCACCACTCGCGCACAGGTGCAAACGGTGTTTCGCGATAAAGTTAATTGTAATGATTTAACGTTATAATAAAAGGAAATAATGATACATCACGTTCGATAGAGTGGGAGTGAGTAATTTGTTAAATTTCGTTCTCGAGTATACGTATTATAAAACGAAATTAAATCAGGTTGAATGGGCGCAATCAGTTAATTAAGTGCGGCGCACAGGCGCACGTACACACCAAAAAAAAAAAATGTATATGATAACGCGCACCCATCGGAAATTACAATTAACGTAGAGAAATCGGAGAAGGTAAAACGAAGGTTGTTTAAACGTATGTAGCGTTTTCGTTAAACTTGGGAAATCAGCATCCCTATGTGGACGATGACGTTCAAATCTATGACAACGCGGCAAGACCGAGCAAACCAGCGTATAGCGGTCAGAACGAGCACGGAACGAGCTACCTGTACGCGGACATCGCGAACAAGCCGACGACCATTTACGAGTCTTCACAGACGTGGAATTACGAACGACCTGTGTACACGAACCGTCCATCGGTTTATCATCCGCCCCAGCTTGATTATCCACAGGACGAATACGATGCCGCTTATCCCGACGTTTCGGGAATGAATACACCGAACCAGGATGTTACGAACTCCGTGGATTACTCCAAATACCGTGGTAATCCGCATGAAGTCGCACAGTCAAAATGTTTTGCACCCACGGCCTGTACCGAACTACGTTATACGTGTATAAATTAACTCTTCCGAGACTATACTGTCTTTTTTACTCGTTTACTGATTTTTCCAACTCGAATTTCGACTAAGGAAAAATTTAATTGACAAATGAAAAACGATAAATAGTTTTTTAATTATCGTCTTCTGGGTAGTTGCTAGTCAGCGAATGTGAGAAAGGGAGGAAGCACATTTTTTGGGTTCATACGTTTCCTTTTCTATCTGTCACTTTGCACATTTTCACGTACGGCTTTACTGCAATCGTTCACGAGAAAGATGAAATTGATGCTGGGTGAAGGACGACAAGAAGATCAAGGAGAAGAAAAGAGAAAGATATAGGGAAAGGCGTGATTATACACGATGTTAACGGCAAGAAAATCACGGTCAAGATATCCATGAACTTCAAAAAATTCAGCTTTAGAAAGTGTTGTAGTACGTGTTCGTGACATCGATACCGATATCTACGTGAATGTACCACGCTCTGTCTGTGTATAACTCGATCGCTTTACCTCAAACCAAAGAGATCCTACTTTTAGATTCTATGCGTCCTATATGCCGGCGAGAAATTGTTGCTTACATTCTCCTTGCTTACATTCTTTCGATCGGAAGCATAGCTCATAGCAGTGTAGTATTACACTTTTATGTGTAAGTAAATGGATGTAAAACTTGTCTGTACATTGCCTCTCTTTTACATTGTTTTACAGGCTGCGGTGAACTTTATACGAGAAGTAATAGGATTGTGGGTGGGCACAGTTCTAGTTTTGGTAGTCATCCGTGGCAGGTAAGGTCGAAGCGAAGAAGTTGAAGAAAAATTCATTAAGGAACAATTTTCATCTTATGTTTACAGGCTGCTATTATTAAATCTGGGTTCCTGAGTAAGAAGTTATCATGTGGTGGTGCTTTGCTAAACAACAGATGGGTCGTTACCGCGGCTCACTGTGTTGCAACGTTAGTACGCACAGAAACTAATTAAACAATTCATGATCCGGGGTTTCTATAACTGTTACTAAACCAAATTCATTTTTATACAGGACGCCAAATAACAATTTGAAAGTACGTCTCGGTGAATGGGACGTTAGGGACGCGGCCGAACGATTACTACACGAAGAATTCAATGTCGAGAGGAAAGAGGTAAGTGCAGGTAGCAAACTACGTACATTTTATTAGTGAGAAGATCTCGTCATTGGAAACGCTGCAGGTTCATCCGCAATATTCGCCGACTGATTTCCGGAATGACGTTGCATTGGTGAAATTATCGAGAATAGTGGCGTTCAAACAACACATCGTTCCTGTTTGTCTACCAGCGAAAAACTTGAAGCTCTCTGGACGAACAGCGACTGTCGCTGGCTGGGGTAGAACCAGGCACGGTCAAAGTTCCGCGCCATCCATTCTTCAAGAAGTTGACGTTGAAGTGAATACTTTAATATACTTTTACATAATTGCATATCGATTGCTCCTATTCATACACTGATATTTCAGAGGAGTATTTCATGAAAAAATATGTAAGAAATGAGTTTATATAACTCTACTTAAGGATGTATTGGCTATACATTTAATCCCAAAAGTTTATGCACTTTAGAAACGCATTTTTTAAAAAGAAATCAGACGTCGGAAGAACAATGCTAATAATAAACAACAAAAAAAAATTTTTCAAT